TCAAGCACACAAAAAAAATTATGAATCCAAATAATAATAAAAAAAAAAAAACCATTCGTAAATGTCGCACGTAAAACATAAATAATAATAATAATAATAATTTATAGGTACAATGTAGTAAAAAAAAATAAATAAATAAGTAAATAAATAAAAGGAGAGAGATGGAGAAAGATGAAGACGTTGACAAATAACGTTTTATAATTTTCACTTATTAATATTATTATTCTGTCATGTTTTTAATAAAACCATTTAAGGCGGTACCTGAACGATATTTTTTTCTCAATCATTCCTTCCACCGTATAAAACTACTTACTATCGAGAAAAAAAAAAAATTTCATTTATTTTAATCGAGTATAACCGTCATTTATTTATTTATTTTTTTTAATTAAAAAAATCTTGTACTACCTAACGTTTTAATTAAAAAAAAAAAATTTTTTTTCGTACGTACGGACATTTTACGTTTACATTTCGCCAACAGAACAAAACAAAAAAAAAAAAAAAAAAAAACACGCCACTCTTGTTAATAATGATGACATTATTCGTAACCATTTTTCTCTTTTTCTTAACGATCGATCGAATTTTACTAAGAGATTTATTATTATTATTATTATTATTATTATAAAAATATTTTTATTTTACGTAATGGATACGAGCACACACACACGTACATAAATACGATAAGAAAAAAAAATAATAATCATAATAAAATTATACATAATTTTTTTTTTAAAGTTTACTTTGATTTGTATTTTTTTTTAATGGAATAGATAATTTTTTTTTTTTTTTGAAATTTATGACGTAATAAAAAATCAATTTAAAAAAAAAAAAGAAAATGCATTTGACATTTACCAATAATAACTTTTATACTAAATTATTGATTGATTGATTGATTGATTATTTTAATCCCCTTAATCGTTCCCAGATGGTAAAAATTTTATCAATCGCCGTCTCACAAAACTCATTTTACAAAATAATCCCAAACAATTTTTTTTTAAACAAATTAATTTTAAAATAATACGGGGGGATAAATTAAAAACCAAAAAAAAAAAAAAAAAATGAGAGTAGAAAAACAAAAAAAAAAAAAATCCGCATTTAAGACTTGTTACAACAACAACAACCGTTAACAACTAAAGGTGAACACATATATCGAATAACTAAACTGGCGACTCCAGTTTACCGCACGCGGGAGAAACGTCAGAGTGGTTTATTAAATGAAAAGACATCACCAATGGATGGAAAACAAAACAAAACAAAACAAAATAAAATAAACGTGACTGGTCCACGACACGAATTTATCTCCGAGTCCAGGGTCGTTATCAGATACCTATAATGCCATGACTAACAATTTATATATACGCATGTACATGATGATTTAATATTTTCGATTGTTTACGTTTAACGATAATCCAATCGTTTATGTTTTTTATTTATAAACCACGATTTCCTTCGATTTAAAAAAAAAAAAATGGCGGTTTGTTTGCTGCTATACGTGTGGTGATTATCGAAATGTATTTTGAAATGACGACGATGCGTCAATCGAATTAAAAACAAAACTATTATAGAAAATTCTAAGAAACTAAAAATTAACAAAAAAAAAAACAAAAAAAAAACCGACGACGATGTAAAATTAAAAAAAACTATTATTATTATTATTATTATTTTTTCAAAAAATTTTATTTACTGCCACGTTTTTTTTCTTCTCTTTTTAGCAAAAAAAAAGAAAAAAAGTTGCAAATTACAAAACGTGATAAAATTACAAAAAAAAAAAAAAAATTTTTTTTTAATATTTATAAATCAATTCATCTCAAATAAATTTCATTCACCCTAATAATAATAATAATATATATATTTTTTTTAAAATTTATTTATTATTATTATTATTAGCGTTCGTTTTTATTTTATTTTTTTTTTAAATAATAAAATAATATATTATTGTTAGAGGGCAATCATAAAACGATATTTTTTCTCTCTTTTTTTTATTACAACAGTCATTATTTTTAATATTTTGTGAATCAGCATTTTTTCTTATTATATTAAGAGAGACCAATGACAATTATTACAACCTCCTACATTTTTATTAACATTATTAAAAAAAAAAAAAAAAAAAAAAATTCTTTGATCACATTTTCTTTTCTCTCATTTTTTTTTTCGCGCGCAAGAAAACAAAGTAATAATAATAATAATAAATAACGGGGAAAAAAAGAAATGTCAGAGATGATGACCGATTAATAAATTAATCAACAACCGATAATTTCCGCCTGCTTTTTCTTTTTTTTTTTTGGGGGGGGGATTCTGTATTATGAGTGCACATGCATGATCCATGTTCTTCACACACTAGTTAATATAACTTTAATAATTTTATTTTATTAAATTAATAATAATAATAATTTTATTGTTGATGTTTTAACGTTCAACAAAAAATAAATTGTAATAAATGAATTTTTTTTTTTTCAATTTAACATAATGATATTTTTTTTTTTCTTTTCGTATTTTCCGGTTAATTTTTTTTTTTTTTTTTTGTATCGAGGAAAGAAATTTTTAAACAATTTTTTTTTTTTTAAAGGGAAAAGACAAAAAAACAAATTTCCTAATCATTCATTAAAAAATTAACAATAAAAAAAAAAAAAATCAAGTGAATCATCATTTCGGGCGGGCAAATTACAACCAACATGTCTGTCTAACATTTTTTTTTTGTACTCCCACTCCCTCTCTCTCTCTCTCTTTTCTAATTGTATGCAAACTAAAGAAATTTTATTTTACTTGAAAAAAAAAAAAACGAAACCTTATTCAAAAATCAAACATCACGAGTTAACTGTTATTTATTTATTTTTTTCCACGGCAAAAAATAAATAAATAAATAAATAAATAATAATAATAATAATGGTAATGGTAATAAATTAAAAAGAAAATTTCATTCGGGCGAATTTAAATTAATTTTTTTTCTTTTTTTTTCAATCGAAAATCGTTTTGAATGGAAGAAGAAGAAGAATAATAAAAAATAAAATAAAAAATTAAAACTGTTTTCGTTGCGGACTCTGAAAATTCTCCCGTATAAATCAATAACAATAACATTAGCACGTGGTTTTGGATTGCGTCATAGTGACGTCAGTTTATTATTTCCAACATTGACCCCGCGAGTATTGTTTTTATTATTTTTTTTTTTTTTAATTTGCTGATTTAGTAGTTTTTACGATTAAATTGTGTTTTGAAAAACAACGACAAAAAAATAAAAAATAAAAATTCTTGGAAAAAATTACGAAAACGCATTCGAATCCGTTTTAAAAAAAAATAAAATAAATTTTTTAACGTGGATTATTAAAAACGAAAAAAAAGAAAAAATTTGTTGTTGTTGTTGTTGTTTTATTTAAAAAGACTTTAAACCTTTGAAATTTAATTTTTTTAATTAAAACGTATCAATAAGAAAAACGTTTTAATGTATGCACGTACAGAGATTTATGACTACAAAATTTTCCAAGTAAATTATTTTTAAATATCATCTTGGAAGTGTGATAAACTAAAAAAAAAATTTTTCTTTCACCTGATAAAAGTTTTCAGTTTTAATAATCCAAATAATTTTCAAGTTAAAACAAGTCGAAATTTATTTTCAAGGAAGTGATATATGTTACCAAAAAAAAAAAAAAGTTTTGTATGTGGGAGAAAAAAAAAGTTAAATTGAGTTTACATTTCCTATATTAAGTATCGTTTATGAGTATCGTGACGCAAAAAGAAAACTCGAAAATCATCGACGTTACTCATGCAAAAGCGTATCGTATCAATTAAACGTTTAAAGTCCCCCTCGGATTGGAGGAGGGAGGGGAAAAGAGAGAGAGAGAGCAAATTCTGTCGGTTCGAAAAAAAAAAAAAAAACTTCAGTTTCAATTCTATTGTTCGTTTGTTAAAGCGAATAAAAGAATTGTGACCGTCTGGCACCATTCACATAATTAATTCATTGATATTTTTCTCGACTTCATTTCATACTCCGCGCGTATTAAAAAAAAAAAAAAAAATTAAACTTAGTCATTGAATAAAAGAAAAAATTATATGTGGCAGGTATAAGAAAAAAAAAAAACTCCTTGTTATTATTATTATTATTAATTTTTCAACGTCCTTTAAATTTTTATGCGTATCTCAAAAAAACTTTTGGGTTCCAGAAGTTTTTATTATTATTATTATTATTTTATTTCATCATGACCTTCTTTTTTTTAACTCTTTCATTTTTTTTTTTTTTTTGAGAAAAAGTATAAAAAAATATTTTCCACATTTTTTTTTTTTTGCGGCTTAAAAACCTCAGTCAATTACCATTCAAAAGATATTAAAAATTTAAAGGTATTTTTTTTCAAAAAGTAGAAAAAACATTCGAATAACATAAAAGAATATTTGAGATATGACGCATGAGAAAATTTCATCGTTTCTAAAAAATTTTTTTTTATTTTTTTTATCAATGGGAAATGTCATTTTTAAAAAATTATCAACAAATTTATGTATATATATTTATATTCGTTCTTAACGCTCTCTCTCCCCCTTCCCCTCGCTTCCCCCCGGTTACAAACCAAAACTATGCAATAAAAAAAAAATATTTATTTATTTAATTCTTGTATATCCAGTTTTTTTTTTTTTTTCTAAAAAAACTCATAATAAAAATGATGATTACGTTTAACAAATATATTGACGGGTAGTTTAAAGAAAAAACTTGGATTAAACACAGCAAGGGGGATGTGGGGTAGGGGGTGGAATACCTGTTGACAATAGTTTCCACCTGACCCCGATACAAAATGGATTTCCAGGTGCGTTTCTTTCTCTCTCCATCTCTCTCCCTTTTCAATATTTATTTCTATTGTGAGTTTTTTTTTTCAAATTATTTTTATTATTATTATTGTTACTCTTACTAACGATATTTGAAACCGTTTGAAAAAAAAGAGGGTAAACCGAGCGGGGGGGGGGGCAAATGTAAAACGTTTAAAAAAAAAAATTCGTTTTAGTGTCGCAAAATTCAAATTGATTTAGTCATCGTCATCAGTGGTATCCTGACAACTAAATCCAAGACTAATTTTAATTCATAGAAAGAGAGATGATCATTATCGAATTCTTGAAATCTTTCAATCGTGTCAAATTTAATATTACGTGAAAAGTGTGAGAGAGACAGACAGAGAGAAAAGACAAAATCAAGGTGAAATATTGATATCGCTAAACTAATATTTTCTTCAGGTTAAAACTTGCTCGCCTTTGTGGGAAACGTTTTGGATTTTTGTCAATCGTTGAATATTTCCACGTTTAACCGAAAAATCATTTGTATTATTATTATTATTATTTATATCACCTAACATTACGTAATTAATATCGTTATTAATAATAAATTAATAAAATAACTTACCATTTGCATTGATGTTTTTGGTTTTCTGTTTATATCCGATATTTTCTGGTTGGCTGAAATCAAAAATAAATTTTTTAGTTAACACGTTTCTCTCTCTCTCTCTCTCTCTCACGTATTTATTTACGTATTCTCCCCTAAACGAGTTAGTATTAACTTGAAGGAACCCTCCTCACACACGCACACGCACATTAACTTCAAATATGGTGAATAATTGATTGAAACGACGACAAGGCAGAGAAATTGATGGAGCTGTCATGTGGCTAAAAGTTACTTTTTACCATCCCCCAAAGTTATATTTTTGCCCCCGTGTTCCCCTCTCCACTCCCCGCCTCCCCCTTCCTAAACAATTTCTATATACGCACACAACATTTAATTTTTTATGGAAACATAAAATAATTTTTATTTACTTACTGACGGCTTCGATGACGTCCGCTAAGACCACTCCATCTGTGACATCAGTTTGTAAATCTTGAATGTGTTTTTTGCATTTTGCTTTATCCAGGTAATGATTTGCCCAATCCGTGTATACCTGAAATTAATAATGACGAAGTGTTATCATCATCATCATCATCATTATTTAGTTAAATGGATGTCTTAAAAAAAATTTTTTTTTTCTTAATTAAAACCCTAAAAACCCTAAACACAAAATCATTCGTTACACGGTTTTTATTCTTTGAGAAATTTTTTTCTGAAAAGGGGTTAGGATTTATAATATAATATATAGAGGGAGGGGGAAAGGGGACAACCGGAAAATGCTGTCGTTAACAAAAAAAAAAAAATTTATAACGTTTGGTTTATAAAAATGGGGCAACAACCAACGTAAGAAACATTTTTCCTTAAATTTTTCTTACTAATTAATTATTCTTTGTTGTAAAAAAAATTTAAATTATTTTTTAATAATTTTTCTCACGTTTTTTTTTTTTTTTTATTAAATTTGATGACGTAAAAAAACGGTTAAATATTTATTAAATAAATACTTTTATTATTATTATTAATAAATTAATCGAAACAATGTATTATCATATCACGTTTTTTTAAATCTCCACCCGATTTTTTTTTTTTTTTAACAAAATATACATACAAATTTCTCCCTTTCTCTCTCTCTTTTTTTTTTAATCTCGATTCACGGGTATTCGAGAAGGAAGAGAAAGGAAGAATTTTTTTTTTTTTTTTTTAGCAGAATTTAGCAAAAGAGAGACCCTCCGTTAAAATTTATTGTGCAGAACGTATCACCTGAGCGTATAGTCAGAAAAAGAGACAAGCGCAGAATAATTTATATTGGTTACGTGACAAAAAGAAAATTCCCCAGCTTTTCTCTCTCTCTTTCTCTCTTTTTTTTTTTATAAAAAAAAAAAAAAAGAAAGAAAAAAAAGGAAATACGTTAAATAAAAAAAAGAAAAATTTTCACGAAAAATGTACACACGATTTAAATTTAATTATTATTATTATTTTTTTTTTCTAAAAGTTAATTTCTTAGCTTCGTTATTAATGATGACCTTTAAAATCGGTTTTAAAATTTTTACTCTACGACGTTGGTTAATTTTAATAATAATAAAAAAACGGTAAATTATTATCATTATTACTATTATTATT